CTGAATACTAAAATATTTTTCATGCTTATAAGAGTATGCATTAAATTTTACAATTATCTATTTTATTCTGTATTTGAGATGTGTTCAGTCATTTTCAGTCATGTCTGACTCTTCGTGAGCCCATTTGGGGTTTTCTTGGCAAAGATATTAGAGTGGTTTGCCATTTCCTTCTCCAGTTCATTTGATAGATGAGGAAACTGAGACAAAGAGGGTTGAGTGACTTGCCTGGTGTCACACAGCTAGTAAGTGTCTGAGGCCAGATTTGAGCTCAAGGAGATGAGTTTTCCTATTTCAGGCCTCGCACTCTATCCACTGCACCCCTTTAGCTGCCCTAGCTGTATTTGAGACACATGGTGCTAAGCTGATTTGTGTCTCAATGCTCCCTGAATTTCAGTTTTAAAATGACAATTTTGGCATTTCTGATCATAACATTAAACATTCTGTCCAGGTCACATACGCAGTTAAAATTCTTTTTTCTAATTAATTTAATTTTCTTGTTACATTTTAAGTTCTAAATTGTCTCCCTTTCTGCCTCCCTACCCTGCACTAGAGAAAGCCACCATTTGACACAGATTTATAAATACATGTAAAACCATACTATGCATACTTCTATTTATCAGTTCTTTCTCTGGAGGTGGAAAACAGCTTCCGTCATAGGTCCTTTGTAGTTGATGCAAGTATTTGTGATACTCAGAATAACTTGATCATTCACAATTATTCTTAGAACAATTTTACTGTAACTTTATACATCATTTTCTTGGTTCTGCTCATTTCACTTTTCATTATTTCATGCAAGTCTTTCCATGTTTTTCTAAGATCATTGACATCATCATTTCTTATAGCACAATGGTATTCCATCACAGTCATATACCACAACTTGTTCAGCCATTCCCCGGTTGTTGGGCATCCCCTCAATTTCTACTTCTTTGCCATCACAAAGAGAGCTGCTATCAATATTTTAGAACATATGGGTTTTTTCCTTTTTCTCTGATCACATTTTATATAACATTCTTATAGGTACATTTTAAAAAACAAAAGTAAAATTTTCAGACTTCAATTATATTTTGGCTCCTAGAAGGGAAATGTTAGCTCAAAGAGCTACATATGAATCATTATTCAGAAAAGTGAAAGGTGGTTCAGTGGGCTAGCCAGAAGAACGAACTCTGGCAACTTCTAGTTTCCAGCAATGTCACCTTAAATGCACTTGCTTTATACAATAACAGTGAAAGTCTTCCTTCCATTCTGAAGCTCACCAAAGAGCCTTGTTGCTGACATTCCATTCTTTTTTTTGACATTCCATTCTTAATTCCTAATTTAACAATCTACAATAAACCCAGAGAAAAATTCAAAGTTTGTACCCAATACAATTTACAAATCCACATTCAGATGATTATGTCTAATTTTTTGTGGAATCATAAATTTGATCTCTTTTATTGTCAGCACAACAAATTATGAGAAAGAGGGATGGGGGAGCAAAGAGAGAGGGAGAGACAGAGAGAAAGACAGAGACTGGGGTGGAGGGGGAGAGAGACAGAGAGGGAGGCAGAGAGAGAGGGAGAGAGACAGGGACAGAGAGAGACAGAGACAGAGAGATTCCTTTATTTCTCATTATCTTTTCTTTTTCCATCTGGGACAGATTAGAATGAAAAGTAACGTAAATAACTGCTCAAAACTGACTAAAATAGAAGACAATTCTGAAATTTAACAACTTCTTACTGAAATGCTTTTGCTCTTTTTGAAGCAGGCTCCAACTTAATTTAAAGCTATTTGTTCTTTCTGAACAGTTCTTATCAGAAACAAACACTTTGGCTGGCATTCACATACTCATATAGTCAATAGATTGCCACAACACATAGCAAGATTCCCATGTCAAAATCTCGGAACTCCTTGGAAGTCACTGTGTGCCCATCAAAGAGGGGTTCCCCTTCTTTTTTTTCCTCTTTCACCTGTTTTAATTTAGCACTTCAGTCTGCAAGCATCTTTCCCTCTTCCCCCCTCCCCTTTCTAAAACACACTAGGGATCTCTGGGAAATATTAGTTCATGCACATATTGGAATTCTCTCAAGGGCATATTCAGGATTTCTGTTTCCCTTTGCTTCAGCCTGCTGTCAACTTCTCTGAGGAGAAACTTGGTCCATGAGGTTGGCAACCAAGGTGGAACTCTGCCCACAGAAAAGATCAGCTGGGGTGGGAATCAATTCTAACAGATGGTTCACAAGATCGGGCATAAACAGGGAGAAGAGAGATAGACCAAGACAATGAATTTGCAAAAGGCACATCACCTGAGCCTTAACCACTGGCTATTTGGCTTTCATGAAGGGCAGCCTGGGTGGCTAGATGACTGACAAGTAGGCTTGGTTAGGTGGGGGGATAGAGGCTAGGGAAGCCAGTTGGGGCTCACTGAGCTGTTTGAAGGTCTTTCCACATACACATTCTCAGAGACAGATAATTCAGGGTCCCTTCCACAACAGTTAAGAGAGGGTGGTTAAACAAAGTCTCTCTTACAGGAATATACTTCTAGCAATCTGGCCACACAAAACAACGAAAACCAGGACTTAATTGGTTGGAATCAAATAGAAGAGAACAAGGTTGTACATCTGGGAACTAGCTGGACCATAACAAAAACAGAATTAAGCAGGATGAGATTAAAGGTTCTTAGTAATGTGTAAAAAAGGGGGTAGGGGTGGGAATACAAATGATTCTGAGAAGTGGAGGTTTTGGCTTCTCCTCACTAAGTCCATGTGTTAGATTCCTGGTCAACAGGCCAAATCTCTCATGGGAAAAAAAGATAATGCAGATCACAATGGTAGGGTACAATTCCATAAAACTTTATTGTTGTCACAAGCCATGGTATCTATCCAAGGAAAAGCCATTTGGCTCAAAAAGATATCTCTATGAGGTGAATTGACTCCTATTATGAACCATTTCTTACAAAATGAAGGGAAAAGAAACAGATTTAGGCTGGATTATTAACTAAGTACAAGAAAACAATATTCTGAAAGAGAGAGAGAAGAGGGAGGAGAGAGAGAGAGAGAGAGAGAGAGAGAGAGAGAGAGAGAGAGAGAGACAACTTAAGTGCTTACTATGTGTTAGGCACTATGTTAAGTGTTAGGGAGACACATAAGCAAATAAGATAGTCTTTGTCCTCAGGGAGCTTACATTCTAATAAGGAAGGCAACACGTAAATAGGAAGTGGAAAGCAGAAGGAGGCAATAAAGGAGAAAGGGTATTTCTGTGGGGACAAAGCAGACAATAAAAAGATGGAGAAATTCAGAGAGTGACTGACATGGAGATCTAGGCAAATGATTCACCAATCAAGAGAGTGTAGCCTCAAGTGGAAGTTTCCCCAAGGTGAAAAGATGGGCAACAATACAATGAGGAAGAAGTCGAGAGAGGAGCTCCAACCAGTTTTGTGTCATGGATGGAGCCCCTTGCATAACAGTGGTCCAGACAAGAGAGTCACTCATCAGGAGAATGGGGATTCAAGGAAGAGGTTTCTCCAGGATAGGAAGGTGGCTGGCAGAGTGGAGAAGTTCATAGAACAGGTTGAGCCAAGAGTGCAAATGATGCACTGTGTGTCAATGATAAAAGCAGTCATAGAATGCTCTTTAGTGCAGTTCCAAATTGCTCTCCAAAATGGTTGGATCAGTTCACAACTCTACCAACAATGCATGAGTTTTTTTCCACATTCCCTACAACATTCGTCATTTTCCTTTTCTCTCATATTAGCCAAGTTGATAGGTGTGAGGTGGTACCTCAGAGTTGTTTTAATTTACGTTTCTCTAATCAATAATGATTTAGAGTATTTTTTCACATGAATATAGATAGCTTTGATTTTTTAAAGAAATACATTTGAA